GAACCTGACAACATTTCTCATGATTAGTTGTAAACACAAGGCTAATAACGCACTGGGGTGCCAAAAGTTGCGCTTCTTGACTTCTAAAACATCACAAACCCTTTCCCCTTAGAATCCTACGTGCAACATGTCGACACCTCAGTTGCGGTCGGATTTCCACACCTGAAAGCCTTATAAATATTATAATTTAAACGGGTGTGGAAATCTGACCGTGCTGTACCTGCCACGCAAAATGGACGTGTTAATCCGATCCGCTGTAGACCGCAAGTGTCATGTTGGAACAGAGTAAGAAGCGTAAACTTTAGGGTTCTTGAAGTATGTACATATGTTATGAACACATGGCTGTGCGCGGGCGTGTTACCTTGTTTTTGTATTTAACCGACAAGACTCCTAAGACATCATTATGGCAACCTCAACTCGCAGAGTCGCAGCAGGAAGGTCACGCGGAACCTTGACAAACGCTGACCAACCGATCTGAACTCTTACATATAATATATATATATAATTATGGTTCGCATATATATATATAAAGACCCTATGAACCTGGGGCGGGTTTCCATGCATGTAAGGCTGCCCATTGAATTGAAAGAAACTATGGCCGAAAGAAACTATGGCTCAACTGCCGCTAATGCTACTTATGCTTGAAATCAATTATCAAAAAGTCAACATGCAGCATGGACAAAGAGATGGAGAGACACATATGCCGTATATACATCAATCTCGGCCTCCCTGCATCCCAATCGCTTAACGGTACTTTAAGCATCAAATCAACTTCGCTCCAAGACCTAGAAGCATGTTTTTTGAAAGCAGTCTGGGGTAGTTCGGTCGTGGACCGAGGCTTTTGTCGGGTTTATTCAACAACTGGTAACTGGTCAATTCCAAATAACACCCCTTGACTTAGGCAATCAAGCTACGGGAGTCGTCAGGACAAACTTCTTGCAGGGGACGGTCAGGCTTGCTCAGCTGCATGCAAAGCACCTTTAAAGAGAGTCATGAAACTACAACTATCTGCGGAGCATCACATTGTTCACATTTTGTTCACAAGAGTTGACGCCTTGAGACAAAAATGATACACACCACCACAATTGTGATTATGCTGCTTCAAGGGCCAACACACATCAAACGCAATGAGACGGATACAACCAAAGTGCATCTCTTGGGAGCGGCACGTGCATAACTGCGAAGTAGTGGTTGGGCAGGCCTAGGACATCGTGGCATCCTGTGCAAGCTGCTATCTGCTATTCACCTCTGGAATCGTCCTATACACCATCCCCTGTTACTGTAGTCACTGTAGTCACTGGTTGACTGGTCGAAGGCAACTTGGGCTCTCAGCCCAGAGCGCTCATGCCAACGCTGTGTGCAAACCTCGCCAGCACGACCACGCTGAACCAGCAATGCAAACAGCACCACATCATTTGCCTGAGATGATCGAGAGGGTTGCTGTAACGCATGTTGGAAACATTTGGAAACATTGTATAGCAAATTGCGCCTCTCTGCCTCTATGGCTTTCAAGTCTTTCATGCCGTATAACTGTACCATCCCGGTTTGTCGCAGGAGCGTGTCCTCAGTCTCGTGCCTCTTCCCAATGCCAGGAACCTTCGTGGAACTCCCGGTCCAGCACCCGCATGTACTTACCCACCTCAGTCCAAAGCAAATCCTGCAGCCTAAACCAACACCATGAAAGCATTTATATAAGTTGTCGAGCTGCATGCGGATTACGAAGAAAGGCATCATCGGTCAATTCAACACGAAAACCTTCAAGAGCATTCGCGGCTTGTGCATAGGCGTCCTCGCATGCAATCTTTCAACTAGCCTCACGCCCCTCTCTGAAACGAAAACGGTATATCAATCGCTGCCAAGTGGCCCAGCTGGCTTTCCTTGGCTCACAACGCGGGGTCACCGTGCACATTGTACCAAAGTCACTTTGGCTGAGCTTCTTCTCGCCCAAATGGTAGAGGCAAACCCCACAATTTGCCCAAGCCTGGTTACGGTGCTCATACCCATAGCCACCTTCTTGTGAAAGCGGTCACCACTCATCCTCGCCTTCCAGTTAAGGCAACTGGCCTCACATTGCGGAGCCTCTTCAAGCAAACGGTCATACCTTGCGAGGCAATTCTGGCCAAGAAGTGATTCCAAATGGGAATCACACATCAAATTAAACCAAATCTAAGCGTCAGAGTAGCTTTATCGTAAGCAATGGACATCTATGGAATCTAAGGACCCAAACCAGTTTCTCTCACTTCTTGACTCTTGCAGCCACAGTACCATTGCAAACGCATCAAGGCCGCTTCTTGGGGAGCTTGTACATGCCGGTCCTGGAAAGACAAAGCGGGCAAATGTGCAGCTGCTGCTGGTGAAAGCTCCTGATGATGCTGATAACCGACTGAAAGGCGTTGAAGATCTGCAGAAAGCTTTTCTTCTGCATTCTCCACTGCCCGCTTTCCCATGAGGCATCGGAAGTGTAGGTGTGCGCTTGACTCGACTATTCTGCTGCGCTGTGGCACTCTAAGGTTGGCAGAAATAACATGTGACGTTAAATCTCCTCATGACATGAGCCACAAGCCATTAAATGAAGAGAACAAACAGTGGCACAATGCTACTGCACTACTTCGATCTTGGAGGATTCCGCTGAGTTTACTATGACGCGTTAAAAAGAATCGTCCACTCTGGGTTCACTCGTTCCTATGGCAAACCTCGCTGAAGCTTCTTTTCACACAAGCTCACCGCCAGATTGAGGTGCACTTCTTGATTCCACGCCGTGGCGCGGGCTGCGAGAACGTCCACGTGAGCCAACCAATCGCTGAGAATGTTGCTCCGTGGGTGTGGGATGTTCGAAGGGATGCTGAAAGGCTGGTTGTGCGGAAAGTTGAGGGCCTGTGAAGCTTTGAGTAGGGCTTTGAAGCTGGGGGTGTCCAGTGGCATGCATTGGCTGCACTGGCTGCAGATGTGTGTGACCTCGCATGCTTTGGAACTCCTGCGTTGGGAGTGATTGCATAAGTTGCATCTGGCTCTGCTGCATAAATGACAACTGATCTTGCGCGGGTTGCATTTGCTGCCCTTGCTGGCCTCCAAATGGTGGACTGAAGGCACCAGCACATCCACCACAGCCACAGTTGCCAAACACCCCACACCCTACCCCATTGCAACCCCAGCTACCATGATTGGCCTGCATGGCAGGAGGCTGGGGGCTTCCAAGCCCAGAGTTTATGGGTGCGAAGTGCTGCATTTGGCCCGCAGAGCCCCCGCGGCTTGGGTGCGAGAAGGGCATGTCATGACTTCGATGGCTTTGAGAGATTGCTGTGATGGTCATTTCATTGGGTCCGTGGGCTGCCCAGCTTGAAGGACTCGAATGCATTGTGGGGGGTCCGTGGCCATCAGATGGCAAAGGTGGGAGTGGAGGGAACACATGAGCAGACTGCACATTGCAAGGGGTGCTCTGCATGCTGACTCCTGAGGCGCTGCTTGCCTGGAAGTCACTGGCGAGGAGAGCAGCATTCGACATTGGGAGGTTGCTGGGGCAGTTGGCATGTGTTTTTGCATTGGACCCACCAAACATTTCATTTTGACGCTGGAATGGCTTCAGCTGGAACGGTGCATCGTGAAGCCTTAGCTCACAGTTCACACCTGCAAAGTAGAAGTCGCATTCCTTGTCACGCTGTTGCTTCAGCAAGTTAGTTGCGTATACAATTGTCAACTGAGGCGAGTGCTGCAAAGACTTTCCATGAAAAGATGGAAATGACAAAGGCACCTTCAAATCCAGTGGTGCATCACTGGAGCGGAAAACGGAAGAAAGAGGGCAACGACGTCTTTTAATTCCAAAGATCTACACAAAATCTATATATATACGTATGATTACGTATGTTTTATATATATATATATATTAGGTTAAAGGTCATTGCTACTAGGTTGGAGGCCATCGCTCTTTGGTTGGAGGCCAAGGCTCTTAGGTTGAGGGCCATTGCTATTAGATGCTATTAGGTTGGATGCCATCGCTCTTAGGTTGGAGGCCATTGCTCTTAGGTTGGAGGCCATTGCTATTAGGTTGAAGGCCATCGCTCTATACGGAGGACAAACAAGAACCACAAGAAAACAAATGTGTGCCAAGCCAACCTTGCCGCTCTGGCGCTCAGGAGCTCTCAGGCTAGCCGCTAGAACGGCCCGGCCGGCTGTAACAAGAGCCTTGAAGCAAAGAGGAGCTTGCCCTGTTTGCCCACGCGTTCGAAGCTGTTATGTATTCGTGCAACCTGGAAGCACAAATGGCAGAATCGTCCACACCATTCCCCTCGACACGAAGCCACACTGGAGGTCTTGAAAGTTGGCGCCATTTCGACTCCTCGGAGCTGCAGTACAAAGTCGACACAAAGTACTGACATCTGTGTTTTTCCCGGGGGGTGGGGTAGGCCGCAAATTTAGCTAGTAGAAGAAGTGGCTACTACCTTACTTAAGCTACTGCCCAGGACACAGGATAGCTCACGCTCGTTTCAAACAATAATTAGGGAAACTTAAGCTATTAGGTTGGCCTAGCCGGTCAGTCTTGAATTGGCCTATCTCATGGAGGCTCAGGGGCAAATGAGCACAAACATACTGCACAACATCGGCGCTGTGCAATCAGCATCAGATCAAATGAAGGTGAGAATAGCCAATAGCAGGTCTGCCACACGAGAAATCCACAACTCTCGTTGGCTTGTGGCTAGAGATGGTGAGCACGCATGTTCCACAAAATCATCAGAATCCAATGATGCGCAGTGAGATGCGATTTAATTTAGCACCACCACCACCACCACCACCCGGGTGACGTGTCTCTGACAGTTGACTTCAGAAGCAAAACAAAACGTAACTAATTACTAATTGCCAAGAAAGCTCAATTGCCTGCACCAAATCGTGAAAACCGCTCAAAGTGATGCGGTTGTGTGACAAATGCAGCTCGCTAGGCAAGTTTTCCGCAGGCATGGAGTGAATCCATTCGGCAATTGCTTTCCTCAGCTCAGCATGGAATGCTAAATCGACAGCCTAATTGTTCTTCAATGATGCAGCGGTGACTTTACAACCTGGCAACTTAAGCCGTAACTAGAAGCTACTAAGTGGAGGCCATCGCTATGGTTGGAGGCCATCGCTACTAGTAACAAGAAGCTACTAGTAATCGCTACTAGGAGCAAGCA